AAGGTAGAAGAAAAATAGAAAAGAAAAAAGATATAAAGAAGTGGCTTCTGATCTTCTTTACAGCAGTTATAAGTACAATTGTAGATTTACCCCTTTTTTTCTAAAGTTATATCGTGACTCTCTTCTTTCTATAATCTATCTTATCTAATCGTCAAAACTATAGATCATAAGTTCATTTTTTTCTGTTTTACACAAAAAATCCATAAGGGGTTTCCAGACAGCAATACATGTAGATACTGTTTTTTCTCTAGTCAAACAGGTCAATTTGACCATTTCAGCAAGTTCATCATTTTCACCAACCATTCCTCCATGGTAGGTATTGTCAAATCTTTCCATCTTTGTGCATACAATAATCTCATTGCGGTTATCATATATAAAAACAAAGTTCCATGACTTTTTTACAACTATTTATCCATCAGTCCCAAGAGGAAAGGTTCTGGTTTCACCTATATATTAATCTTTAAAATCCTCTGAATCAGTATATGCATTTGAATCCAAAATCTTCTAGTTTTTTTGCACGTCTGCCAAGCATGATAAAAGGACCCTTCTTGTTCACATTTCCAGTATAGATTTGAGGTACCTTTATACATTCTAGATAAAATTATCTAGACCCCTTCAACAACCTTAACACAAAGGTAACCTTAGTGTGGTCTGTTGGGAATTCTGCAGGTCTGCTGTCTATGAACATCTCGCACTGTGTAAGGATGGTCCTTAACTGGTCCACGTCCCCTCCATATTTCTTTGGTAAGTTTTCACGAGAAGAGCACTGGCGGTCCAGCTGCAGGTTGTTGGGCGTTTTGCCTGAACTGCTGTGCCAACTGCATCACCGCAGCTCGTAAATTATTGATCTGTGTGTCCACTTGCTGTTGATGCTGTAGTAAGGCTGCTGCTAGATGCTGTGGTGTTATCAGTGCTCCTTGAGGATCCGTAGCTATGCTCAATTTTTCTTCCCCTTCTTGGGAATAAGAGTCTGGCAAGATTGATGTCATGCCCAATCCAAGAATAAGGTGAAACAGTCCAGTTGAATTAAGTTCCTTTATTTGCTTACACCTCATAGACAGAATCTTGCCAGACTAAATCTATACTTCTGCATCAAGTAGATATACCCTGGGAGATTCTAGGGAGTGGCTATCCTGAACTTCTTATGTTTCCCACTCTCCTCTTGCAGACTGTGTTGTCTCTTGTTTCCTTTCCCTCCCTGCAATGCACCTCCTCTTTCCTGATAGCCTTGCTCTCTGCTTCTATCCCCCACATCACCCTCCTCTTTGTATATACATTCCATCACAGTAATCTTTGGTAAATTTTGCTTCTTTAAATATTCATCTATTTTCTCCAGGGAAATTTCTTGTCCTTTATAGAAATTGGAATAATATTGATGAAATACTTTTTGCATAATCACATTATTTTTTATTACAGTATCTCCCTCTTGTAATTTCAATATCATTTTCTTTTCTTTTTCTTTTTGTAATTTGTATGCCAACCACTTCCTTGGTTTATTTGCAAACACAAAATGTTTTTGTTTTGCATAATTGATTTTTATTTCCATTTCTCTTAGTGTTAACATAGATAATTGTCACTGTACAAGCTTAATTTGTTGAGAAATATTTATCTTCTCTGGAAGCTTCTTTAATTCCTCTTCTTTTCTTTTTATCACATCCAAAATAGCTTGTGTTTTCTCATGCCTCTTCTTTTTGAGTTCATTAAGGTCCAGGGATGGTTTCTTGAGGGGGGAGCATGCCACCATCTCCTTAAAGGAAAGCATAACAACCCCTTTCTCAGAAAGGAATTCAGTACTGCTTGGATCTAACCACATGTCACCTCTCTGGAGGCCTTCATCAATTAGGAAGGACACAGATCTAACAAACAGGTGATTGGATTAAGAGACCCAAGCATCCTGTTCACTTCTTCAGCAGTTACAGGATCAAATTCTTCCCATATAACTGAGCAAGACCACACTTCAGCCACCTTGACCATCCAGTCAGAGTTCAATTCTAAGCAGATCTGAGAATTTTTTTTTTGTCCGATGCTGAGAATATGCTTCAGGCAATCTAAGAGGCAATTCCAGCTGCCCTCTGATGTTCAAATATCCTTTGGAGTGAGCTTCGTTGACAAAGACTTGTCATGGTCACAGAAGATCTAGGCCTGGGCAGAGCTTGGGCTGGTAACATACATGTTCCTTGACTGACCCTGCTTTTGCTGCTTAAACTTCCCACTGCTGCAGCTCAGGTCATTGTTCTCCACTCGTGTGCTCAGGAGTCAAAATTCTTGCTACTGCAGCTCCACCCAGTCTGCCACATTTCCCAAATTGGAAAACTTCCAGCCTTCCTCTCCCCCACCACTAGCAAGCATGCGTATATCCCAGGCCAAAGCCCCATTCTAAAGTCCATCTGAGAGATCACCTCAGTACAGTCATCTCTCAGTGCCTCTGCACAGTAGGCCTCTACAATCCAAACTCTGCCCTGACTGCACAGTAAGCTGTCACAGCTCACTCCCAAGACAACCCTCTCATGCTCATTTCAACTATCAACTCAGTCTCTACTCTGCAACCCCTGAAATCATCATCTTTATTACGGTCACAGACCAAAGCAACCCCCGAAATATTACAATCCGTCTCTCTCCCCTGCCCCTGCCCGCCCCGACAGAAACATTCGATAACAGCTGCTAACATTCAATTCCTACCAAGAGCCATCTTGAAAAAAATATTCAAGAACAAATCTCTTATGACAACAGCCAGAATAAATTCTTTTAGTCCATTAATTCCTATATATTTCCTTTAAAATATTAACTGTCACCTGGTATGAAAAAATTACATGCAATAATTATCATTTGAAACAGTCAAAGTAAAAATTTTTGGCAACCTTAATAAGTCATGTAAGCCTAGTAATGAATCACTCATACATAAACTTACTGGTAGGTGTGAGAGGTGTTCTTGGAACTTCAATCTCTGTTTGATGTAGATTCCTTTCTACAACTGGCTCTTCTACTACATTTATACTATTATTCTGCATGATTTCTTGCAACATATTAAATAGTTCCTCTGCACGAGCACACTTGAAGGCAAATATCCCTACAACAACATATATTAGACATCTTCATATATGTTAGTATAATCCATTTACTCATATACTTGTTAATTAAAGAGAAATATCAAATTTAGTTTATAAATTTTTAATAATTACAAGTTCCTGCAATTCCAAGGGAGAATTTTTGGTATTCATATCAGAAAACTACATCTCGGGAACTACTGCCTCTTATAAGAACACAGTTTCACAATTAATACATTTCAGGTTTTCTGCTCAATTACAGTACCAAAATTAATGTGAATTTCCTTTACAAAGAAGTAAGAAGGAGCTGACACAGGGTACACAGTCCAGGTTCATGTCAAGGCTAAACATTGAAGGACCAGGAGGCAGAAGTGACTAGAACAAATGAAGCAAATTTGATTTGGTCTCAAGGATTGAAACCAGAAACAAAGTAAGCAGTATCAAAGATTTTCCTCTAGTATTGTTCCACTTTGTCTTTCAGCAGCAGTGGAGTGCCCCAACTTACTATCATCAGCAAAGGGAAACAGTATAGTTGTGGCTTTGTATTATTCTTTCATTGAAAGCATTAAGTTGACATTCTTGTTAACAAGCGTGTGTCTTTGCTACTGCTAGCTTTAGCTGATCTAACATATTAAAACTATTATGTACTATTCTATTCAAGCGAGTAATAAAGTTCAACCCAGCCCCCCCTCTTTAAATTGTAATCTACTGACTGTGTCATGCAAACTTCACTGACAGTAGGTGGGCCATGCACTATTCTGTCTGGGATAATACTGCCCTTTGAAGAAAATTGTCTAGGCCTGCCTCCAGAAAAGCAGGTTTATAAACCTGAAATGTATTAAGAATTTTTCCTTATGGAGCAAGACTTTCAGTTTTAACAAGTATAATTCTAAGTAATATGACTTTTGAAATGCTCCCATACTACACCAACTGGAATTGACATGCAGCTGTAGTGTATAACGGATAGCTTAAATACACAGTGAAGGCAAGCATTTGAAGATAAAACTAGTTCTGTAGAGTTACCTGATACTGAAATATACAGCTCACATACAGCTGGAGATAAATTATTAATTTGGATAATTAGACAAAATAAACCATAAAGATACACGCTATTTGTACTGCATTTAACCATACTTCATGAACAAAAAGCTAAAATGGTGATAAATAGATGCACCCCATGGACACTTGTGTGTTCTCAAATACAAAGGGATAATTGGATTCTGAAAATATGGTTGAAGATTTATATTCACATGACCTTAGTTTTTAAAAACCCATCAATAAAAATGATACTTAACTCTTGAGAATATAAACGTGTTTACAATTTATGTCACTTATCTACACATGAATAATGTGGGAGAGGCTAGAACTGAGATGTGATTTATCCAAGGCCATTATGTGAGTTCAGTGACTCACAAACTGCACTTCCCTATTTGCCTTCAGCAGTTGTATTAAGAAGCACATTGTATATCAACATGAAGACTCAAATAGCCACCAATAAAGCTATTCTCTATGAAATTGTTTAATTTTCACTTGACTTTTCTCTAAGTCAGTGGCCATCACCCCACCTTGCAGCAATACATTTCTTAAGTATGCATTTTGTGGCAAACATTTCTATCTCATACTGAATCCATTACCTGAATTCAGTTGTAAAAAAGGGAGAAAAAAGCATTAATCCTTTCCAGCAGGTTCTCTCTCTGTGGTCCATTTCTAAATTAAACATCTTTCCTCAGAGGGAAAGTGTTATGATATCTTTATCATATTATTGTCCGTTTCTCTCTTTTTTCTGTCTCTTTTTTACGCTATTTTCCCTATGTGACCACAGATTTATGGCCTTTGTATTTTAAATACTTTTTCCAATAAACTCTAGTTGAAACATGTCTTTTTCCTGCTGTCATTGAACATTGAATTGATGGGGTGCAGGTTGATGAAAACATGACTTTAAAATTGCTTTCCTGATCAGCGAATGCCAGTTAGGTTAACATTGTCTGTCTAATGCCAATAAACCTCCTTAACAACATAATCCTATGCTGCAGGACAGTATTTCAGGATGAGAAGGTTGGGTTTTCCTCTCCAAATATATAGTTCCAACCTTATGGTAGAGAGGGGGAATTTGACAAATACCACTCCTCCTAATTTCCCTCCATGGCAGGTTCTTTCTGTCACTGGGTATCCCCACTTTTGGAAAGGCCTAAAAAGGGGGAAGGGGCAGAAAGCAAATGGGCAGGGCTAAGGTTCCAGTCTTTCCCCAGTGCTCCCAGCCCTCTGCCAGACACAACTTTTGTCTACCTCCCATATTGATCTAAATATAGTCTCTCCATTTGCCTGCAATGGAAGTTTTAAAAATAGAAATAAAATAATAATAATAAAAAAAAACCTATGGGATAGCAAACACTGGCTTTTTGCACTTGCCAGTTGGTTACCAGTAGGACTTTGAACTTGTCAGAGTACTTCAAAAGTTCAAGAGAATAACTGTATCCATGACAGGGGTTTCATTTAACTCAACAAATTCGCTTAAAACTACAACAGATCCAGGTTGGTTAATACCCATGTATTTCTAAGTCTTCATATGTCACCAACACTATTACTTTACTTTAGATATGAATTCCATTTAACAGAATTATGAAAAAGGGGGGCTATTTATACATACCTGGTCCAGTTTGACATCTTCGACCGCTTTCAAATGAGAAAAGATTGGAATCATAGCCATAACGGCGCAGGCAGAGATAATGCCACTTGACAGAATCCCGTTTACGGGTATACAAGATTAATTCTGTATCTGTAAGTTCCATTATACCAGAACCCAATTCATTACCATCATCATCCACATTAATAACCTAGAAAATATATGTTTTTAGAAAATAAACTCATAACAAGATTCACATAATCAAGATCAAATATTTATTTATACACTTTAATAACATCCATATACTAAACATAATTGAGCAAATCCTTGTTAAAAACTGCTAGATAACAGAAAATAAATCTAGTATAATTATATGAATACATAGCTTATAAGTATTTTTTTTCCCCAGAATGTGAAAATGTTTCTGCAGCCACAAAATATATTTCATCTTTCCCTCATCCACTTCAGTGGGTTTAAGTAGATCTAATTTATCCCAATGATTTGGTGATATCAACTATCAGACTATTTCTAGTCTTATTAATAGTCAACACCAACTATTTCTAGTCTGAAAATGTTACAAAAAGAGAAAAATCCAAAGAATCTCTGTGGTAAATAATAGAGAAGCTCTATACACTAGTAGCACAAATAATATAGCAGAGTTGCGGTGTATGGTTTTTTGCAGTTGTTTGATTGACAGCTCTCAACATCTCTGAGCATTAGCTCTGCACTCATGGGAGTTGTAGTCCAAAATATGGCAAGCACAGGCTGCCCAGCACTGTATCTCAACCTTACTTAGCTCTTTCTTTAACAATCGACTTGAAAAATCTTCAGTTCAGAATTTTAAAAAAATTACCACAGAAATCTCTATCAGTCCTTACAATTAATATTTTTCCTTGCCAATCCCAAATCAGAACTTTGCACTCAAAAGTTTCCATGTAGAATTGTACCTTGAATTTGTTTCGATGGTTATCAGGGACTGTTTCTTTATCAGGACAGCTACAACAGCTACCCATGACTTCTTTAGAAGACCATGTGATTACTACAGCAAAGTAAAGAGAACTGTTTAAAGATGAATGCAATACAGAGAAATGGAAAATAAAGTGCAAATAATTGCAAAACACTGAGAAAATATATGATAGGTATTATAAAGCAGTATGGAGAGATCAAATATAAGGATGTCTGTCTGACAGAAAAATAGTATGTTTAAATGCTTGAATAATGCACCAGGAATTCCACATTTCTAAAATACTGTATTTTTAGTAATGAAACAACTTATTTGATAATGTTGTTACAGTTCCCTTATACTAAAGAAAAGATAACAAGAATGAATGCAAAAATTACATGAAACTTAGTCTGTTCAGTGTGCCTGGGAAGGTGCTGGACAGGATTTAATGAACCTGAATGTTTTGCAGCAAATGTTAGATTACTTGATACAACAAGGAGTACAGATCTGAAAATTAATGTATCATAAACCAAGGCAGTTGTGTTTGATGGAAAAGTAAAGCAAATGCTGGAAGATTTACACAAATAATGAAAAATTAGAGCAAATAGATGAATTTGTATACCTTGGTAGAATGTTTTCTAAAGATGGGGAAAAGGATGAAGAAATGTTAAGATATACAAATTCTGGCAGAAAGGTAGTGGTAGTATCTCTTTCTAAAAAATGGTTACAGCTAGAATCCGATACTAAAATGGCAAATGTGCTTACTGCCACAGAAACTACTTGAGCAGGAAAACAAAAGCTGGAGAACCACTATATGTATATCAAGTAACCTTACAAACTTTTTTGGGGCTAATTAAAAGACACAATAGAAGCTCTGTTGTTCCTGGGCAAGAGCTACTTACATTCCACCTACTTACAAGACAGGAAATATAATAACTGGGTACCTTGCAATTCATATATAGGATGATTTCAGATTCTGGTAGAAAAACATCTGACTGAAAGTAAATATACTCACCTAGATTTGGCCATTAATATTCCTAGCCTCTGGTATAGCAACAGTACTCCTTTCATACTTCAAAACATCATGTTGTCTTTCCAGACAGTTGCTTGACCTATAAATCAAAGTTTAAACAAACTGTAAAACAAAATTGAGAAAAGAGCTTTAAATAGAAAACCAGCTCTAAAACAAAACAGTTGTTACTATTCTGTTATGAACCACTACTAATTTATGTTCTTAATGAATAGCAACTCTAAGGTGTATGTATTCACGTGTATTATATATAACAAAAAAGAACGAACTTTTTGAGTTCAGTGTACAACAGAAGACCCTCCACTGAGAGCATCTTCTGTGACAGTGGTGTTAGATGATGACAACATTTGCACATTCCTCATCCATTTTAATATAGCATATTCAAGAAAAGTTGTAGATATTTTACATCCAGCAATCTTGATTTCTGTATAGTGAGCAATGTAGAACCAACTTGCCATTCCATCAAAAGCTACATATGTAGTGTTGATTCCTGTACACTCTGCCAAAGTGGTCAACATTCATCCCTCAAGAAGTTGGACTTCAACTCCCATAATCCTGTACTCCCTTTCATATTGGCTAGGGGATTGTAGCTCAACATTAGGAGAGCTACACGTTGCTTACCTCAGTCTAGTTTAACAAATCACATGTAGTGTGTTATATTGTACTTAAATTACATCAAAAATAGTCATTAATATTTTTTGCACCTATACTAACATACTTTGGGTAGTGAAATATATGATAATCTCATTTGCAATAAAACAGATGTGAAAAAAGTGGATCATAGTCATGTTTCTGTGTGTGAGAAAGAGAAAAACATAAGAAAGGAAAAACTGGTCAACTACCTTATGACAGTGTTTCTCTTGTGCAGGCAGTAGGATTTTGTTCCGTAACTTACTTACTTACTTTATTTATTTATCAAATTTGTCACTGCTCATCTCATTAAAAAATGACTCTGGGCAGTTTATAGAGAAGCTAAAATCAATTTAAAAAACAATATAATGAATAACTTTAATGAAGAAAATAACTCAAAACTCTCAAATATCAATGTACAGGTAGTCCTTGCTAACCAACTGCTCATTCAGCGACCATTCAAAGTTATGACAGCACTGAAAAAGGAGACTTGCGATCAGTCCTAAAACTTGTGGCTGTTGCAGCATCCCTGCAGTCACATGACTGCAATTTGGACATCTGGCAACCAGGGCGCATTTACAATGGGCACAGGTCCCATGGTCACATGATCACCATGTGTGATCTTCAAAGCTGGCTTCTGACAAACAAAGTCAATGGGGAAGCCAACAGGAAGTCACAAGTCTCAGTCACATGATGTCACACTTAACAACCGCAGTGATTTGCTTAACGACCGCAGCCGGAACTGATGTTGTAAGTTGTGCACGGTCACATGATGTTTCACTTTACAACCATGTTGCTTAGTGATGAAGTTGCCAGTCTCAATTGCAATTGGTAAGTGAGGACTACCTGTAAAAGGAATGGGAAAACAGTTCAGGTAATAGCTGAACACAATGAAGAGCAAACCACCAGATGGGTTTGACTTAAGAAAACCATCTTTGTACATCCAGTCATCTCTCACTAAATCACGTTTTATCTAGTAGACAAGCATTTAACCATGATGCATCAAATCTGATTGGGTTCTAATACTTGATTGGGTTCATATTTAATTTCTAGTATTTAAATAGAAAATTTACTGGAGCAGCAGCATTGATTTTTCTTAATTTATTATTTAATCAGTTTGTAAAGCTGCCCATCTCAGCAAGTGACTCTGGGTGGTGAACAATAACAAACAGAATAAAAACAATGATATCCTGAATTCAAAAATTAAAATACATAGCAGGTGAGAAAAACAACACAGTCAACAGCACTAATACAGCCAGGAGACAGGTCCTTTCACACACTCAGGGCCTCAGGCCTTGGCATAGAACCAGGTCTTTACTGCCTTACAAAAAGCCAGCAGGGTCAGGGTCTAATCTCCAAAGGGAGACTAGGGTGGGCACTATGGCAGAAAAGGCAGGCCTCCTGGCCCTGCCAACCAGCACTCCTTACCCGACAGGTCCGAAGTATGCCCATCTTGACAGACCAGATTGGACAGGTAGAAATGAATTTATCTGTTTTTAAACATCAAATTTCTTGCATTAGAAAAATCTGTCAGTATCATCTCCCGGGGGGTGGAGGGTGGGACAAGTATTATATTAGGTTTTTAATACTTAAGCAGAGAATGCTATAATTTTCTCATAGAAGATTATAAAAGACAGGCTTAAAAGTATGATGAAAAAACAAAAAAGCTTACAAATTTCTGCTAAGTTTCATAACAAAGTGCTACAGCTGCTTGTTTTCAGAACTTGAAAGAGACTACATTTAGTTTGAAACTTTATAAAAACATTCTTTAAATACCACAACATTAAAAGGGTCAGAAAAGTCAAGACTATATCCCCCAACATCTTAGTTTAATCCTGAGAGAGCTGGTAAAAAGGAGGTTTAGTTGAACTTGTCCATTTCTGGGGAAAAAAATCCAACATTTTGACAGAAGAAAGCTGAAAATCATGAAACAACTCCATACACAGATTATAAAGTCAGAATCTTCCTGAGATCTTGTTTCATTAATTTCACCAAACATTAGAAGCTCTGCTAATTATACAACAAAATACAGTAATAATTCAAATAATTATCCAACTATTTTTCACACTTCCTACATCATCGCAGCATAGTCAAACTTGTAGAAACATGCTGGGATCCATTAGCATTTATTTTTTTAAATCACATAACACTCTTAAGAGTACTAGTCCATTAAAACTGAAAACAGTATTTAAATGCCAGTTCACATAATACCCACTTCAGTAGTGAATGCTGTGAAAGCATGGTTTAGAAAATAACATAGATACAGAAATAATATCTGTATAATATTTTGTTTGTTTGTTTCAGTCCAGTATTTGTTTTGGCAAAAACAAAACAAAAACAAACATTTATTTCACAAACAGGAAAAAATGTTCTCGACTTACACATCTGATAAAAAATAATCTGCTTAAATATCTTGTAATTTATGGTACCTCTCACCTTTGATTCCTGAGTATCTTTTTATTCAACATATTTAAATATGTATTTATTTCTTGAGACTTTATCATGTTTGAAAATATCAGTTACCAACTGCTTTCCTATTCAGAGCCATCAAATTGCTCTTAATTTAGTCTTCGCATTAACTAGCCACAATCCAATCTTTTGCAAGATTGGTTTTCCCATACCATATCCTTCTCTTTTAGATAAATGTATTTTCGAGCTACAGTACTAATGTTATTTAAAATATCATTTCTCCTGCTCTTCCATTACAGCTGTGTTTCTCCCTTTTCAAACCTAGAAGATGAGTCACATATAATGACAATGCAAGCAAACAGAGACTGGATTCATGTGTCATGCTAAACTGTAATATAGCTTGGTTTGGGCCTAGCATGTTGTGTGCACATAATTACTGTGGTAAATTAGATATGGTTTATGTTTTTCCATGATACGTGATCCCAGAAATCATAATTTAATAAATTTTGGACTAGTGTAATATGTGACTTCCCAGAATATCTCATTGTCCTCATGCAAAACTAATACATAGGTACGGATGCCATAATCTGAACAGAAGATAGCAAAACAGACTGGCTCCAAGTCAGCAAAGCAATGAGACAAAGCTGTATACTCTTTACTTATTTATTCAACCTGTATGCTGAATATAACATTGAGAGAAGCTGGATTGGAAGATGAGTGTTGTTTTAAATTTGGAGAAAGAAACAACACTAACCTGTGCTATGCTGATAGTCGAAAATGCAAAGGACATGGAAGTTCTAATAATGAAAGTCAAGAAGCAAATTAAAAAAACGGGACTAAAATTAAATATAAAGAAGGCCAAACTAATGGCAGGCAACAGGTACTGCAAGAAGCCCTACACTTGACAATGAATATATTAAAGTGGTGGATAGCTCCTGCCTTTTAGGACTGGCTATCAACAGTAAAAGAAGCAGCAGCCAATAAGTATTCCACAGACTAGTAGAAATGAAGGCCTTGGAGAAGTATTAAGATGCCAGGATGTGTCAGTACCTACAAAAATCAGAATCATTCAAGCAATGGTTTTCCCTGTGACAGTCTATGGAAGTGAAAGTTGGACTGTGAAGAAGCAGAAAGAGTATTGTCGCTTTTGAACTTTGGTGTTGGAGAAGACTTCTGAGAATACCACATTTGCATGTTCTTCCTTCAAAGTCGCTATGATTAAGAAGTTGCACAGGACAAGGATAAAGAAGTAATGAATGCACTCAGATCAACCAGCTGAAATGATTTAATGGGTTATGCAAAATCCTCTGAGTCTTTACCAGGTTAACAGCTTCTAAACTCTGTATGGATTATGAAGAGAGGGTCCGTTCCTATGTGTTGTTTGCCCAGGCGTTATCCTAGTCTCCCCAGTCTTCTAAATAGCAAAATAGTTTGGAGGTGGATTCAGAGCTTGGGCATCCACAGCAAGCCTTATTCAAAGTCTCTGAGGGCATGTGAGGACCACAGATTGTCCACTTCTGGTCTAAATCCTGCCTACCTTTTCCTGGTACAGAAGAGATGCTACCTTTTTGCAAATTTGAATTAACATTTCAGAAAATCAAATAATATGGAAGACGAAATGAATAGCCAATAACATTAATGATACAAAAGTCAGTATCTACACTTCAGAGGGTAGGTAGACTTTTTTTTTTCTGAAAACAGTTCTGAATGTTTCTTCTTACCATAAGAGGGTAAATCATGAAATCCAGAGTCTGGAGACATCCATTATCTCTGCAACTGCAAATTATATGCTACTGTTAGATATATAGTAGCGTCTCACTACTGTGCCTCAAAACTAAAAATGTAGACTTGCTCATTATAAACTCCTTAGCTCCTAAAAAATAAAGTAATTGAAATCCTTATACAAACTCAACAGAATTATAGGTTACTACACATCACCAATATAGTGTTTAGTACTTGAATGTGTGTGATTAGAAGAGCTAATGCATGATCACATCAAATTCCTTCCCTCAACTTACAGATCAAAAACTTGCCCGCTCAGCT